TCTTTTTTTTAATTTGCAAAGATTTCAAAGAAACTTCTTTCACGTTGTCATTATGGGGTATTGTTTGTAGAATTTTGAGAAAAATAATTACTTTAATCCATACAGGAATAAGGTTGCAATATAACAAAATGTGGAAAAAGTGAAGCGCTGTGAATACTTATTTGTGAATGCACTGTATGTATATATATGTGTGTGTGTGTGTGTGTGTGTATGTATGTGTGTGTGTGTGTGTGTGTGTGTGTATATATATATATATATATATATATATATATATATATATATATATATATATATATATATATATATATATATATATATATGGGGGTGATAATAACATTGTATTAGTTAGTCAGGGATGGAAGTTTATAATACACAGAATTTGGGTCTCACCCAAAGAATATGCAATTGTATACCTAGAAATGTATTGTTTCTTCTTAACATTGACTGTAGTGAAAACCCTCTAGATTTTGTTTAGATTTTTTCTCCAAATATTGAAATATTTGGAGATTTAAATTGGCTTAGGGTTAGGGCTGATAAATTCTGTTAATAACAAAATAAAGGAAGTTTTCATATAAAATAATGCATAGAATTTATCCTGTGAGACATGTATTGGAACATTTCAAATTGAATATTGATTACTCTTTAATTATTATTCTGTAATAATGAAAAAGAAACCATTTGTCATTTATTCTTTCATTGCATTTACACAAAGATGTTTTGGGTTGATGTTGAAAATTTTATTAAAAGGAAACTTAACATACCCGCGAGCCTGATTAGGTGTAAGCGGTAGAAGATGGATGGGTGGATGGATGGAAACTTAACATAGTTGTAAAACTGGGTGGGGCTGATATAATGATATATGTTAATGACTGTGGGACAGAAACGATAAAGCATATACCATTCAACGGCTAGTTTTAATGGGGAAATCTCATGTACACAAAATGAAATGTGCTAAGTCAAATTATTTTCGTTTTATAAATTAATTTAAACAGTACTGCAATCCTTTGTATAAATGTAAAAAATAAAAATAAAAAGCTTCCAGGGCTTATCTGCAAATTCAAAGTTAATAGATAAACGGCACCATATCCTTTTTGTTTTGTTATTAAAATTTTGTCAATTTTATTTGATTTAATTACTTTTTCTGTATCTATTATTTGAATAACTGAACCGTTTGTACTTGATAGAAGTTATGCAATGTTGTTTGTGTAATATTAATGGTATGTTTGTTAAAGTGCACCTATTATGGTGTTGAATTGTGCCTAATTTTGTTTTAAAATGTCTCATACAATAGATTTACATGCATCCAATGTCAAAAAACACTTTAATGTGCTCATGATTTAAACTGCAGCATTACCTTTTTTCCCCTTAATGTCAAAAACGACTCTTTATATGATCAGTTCTAAAGAATTCATTCTAAATCCTGAAGTCATAAACTCCTCCTTTCAGAGGGCATACTCTTCTCTGATTGGTCAGATGTCCCAGTCTGTTGTGATTGGATTTGTGAAATACATGTGGGTTTACTAGATTTGCAAATCATTGCATTCTGTTTTTATTTACATTCATTTACATTGTACACAGCATCCCAACTTTTTTTTGTAATTAGGTTGTATAATTCTTGCACTACAATCAGGGAGAAACATAAAACATATCCCTTCAGTATCTTATTTACTGCTAGACTGACCTAAGGGATATGTTAGTGTTATTCTCATATAATGGAAACACCATGTTGAAAACACCACCAAGGGCTGCAACTCTGGTGGTATGTGGTAGCTAATCATCAGTTACTCATCACATTAAAGGTACGTGCTTGAAATTTGTCTAATGGTTCCACTGTTCCAGCTATTAACAATGGAACATTTCATTGTGTTGACATATCAAATCTTACATACATACACGGTGTGTCCAGTTTGTCACCTAGGACACATTCCTATCAGTCATTGTTGTGGAAAAATTCCTCCAATCAAAGTCAAAAAACTTCCATAGACAAGGGGTCATGGATGGCCAAAGCAATTAAACTTTATTTAAAACAAATAAAGTGAGCCTTCTGCAGATAATCTAAATGATGCAAACACACACATGCCCTTTTTATATGAGGTTTTTACCTCATACCGATACTGGTCTGCAACCTTTGGTTTTTACCTCAGACTGATAGTGGTCTGCAAGCTTCAGGTCTTACCTCATTACGATACTGGTCTGCAAGCTTCAAAGTGGTCTTTATTGGAAAGCAGTTTCAGCAAATGTCTCAATGCAAATTATTTGCTGTGCAGAAAAGTACACGAAAAAACACTGCACTACACTGTGCAGTAAGACACGGACTTCCTTTAACTCGATACACACTTAAAATATAACTTGAGAAGGAAGTCGTCTTCTTTTGCATTATGCTTCTAAATATTGATTATACATACAGATTATGCATGTTCATTCCTATGGATTATTAGATTATGCTTCCAAGTATTGATTCTAAATATTAATGATACAAATTGATTATACTTTATTAACATATCCAAATGCTAGTTGCACATATTGACTACACATTATCAATATATCGTGTATCATTCCTCTCACAATCAAAATGCATGAAAGTGTAGTATTGTCATTGGTACTCAACTAGCATCTATATGAAATGAAATAATAGGTTTTCTTCATACATGGAGCAAACATCATTACAATATGCTCTCAGAAATAAACGGAGATGTGCCTTTAAACCTGTAATTAAAAGGTACACCACATGCACATTCCAGATAAAAGATACATAGTAAAGGTGCAAAAGATGTACTCTTGATGGTACCGTCTTGAAGACAAGTAAAAGTGCATTTTGGTACCTTTATTTCTGCGTGTTTAAGGGCAAAACTGATAGGGATAAGATGATAACTGCACTGGTGCTATAATGCACTTTTGTAAATCTGCCTTTGTGTATATAGAGTCAGAGAGCTTATAACTCAATTTCATTATACAATTCAATATAGGACAATGGAAATAAACTTGACTTTATTCTAGTGGACTCTGCAGTAAAAAATATTCTAAAAGACCAGGTGTTGCCTTGATCAAAGAGAGGGCAATATCCAGATATCCAGAAGAAATCATCATCATCATCTTTTCCTTTCTCGTCTCTATCCGACATGGCAAGGGAAAAAAACGGCGTATTGTTCTGGGAGGAAGGTTCAAATACTTTGAACATTCCAAAACAGCTCAACATTCTCAGGAGTGTCCCAAGACCTCCTCCCTCTGCTTTTCTGCTCCAGATCTCTTACCTTCTCTTTCTCTTTCTCTCTCATATATTAATCAAATACCAGGGTCTCTTTTGGATTTAAAACTCACCGAGCCATAATGGAAAACTCATATCTACTGACATTAACAAGTGTAGATGAAACAGCCGCCTTTATTCTTTAATCAAGAACATTCCTGTGGATATGCGTTTCTTTTGCAGCATGCACAGAAGTCACAGACTGAACCACAAGTGGTTTAAAGTCTACACAGAGAGCACTGTGACTAATCAGACACATGGCTTCACATCCAAGCAGGTTATTGTGTAGAATTTAGTGAATAGACTCAGTGTTTCCAGGGCATGCAGGATGTGCGAATGAAATGAGTATAAAATGATGGATATTACATGTTACGGTGTGTACTTGGCCAATTCACCCCACATTTAGGAAGGAATAAAAAGAGAAGAATCTTCTCCTTCACTGCAAAACAGCATAGCTTTGTACATACGATCATCCCCCCACTCCACACCCTCACACATACACACTAACGCTGAGGCATTATTTTGGATAATTTAGAGGAGTGAATGGGTGCATTCATGAGCTTGCTGATCATGCAGTTGCTACATTAGAGACAGCCGTCATGGAGGGTAGGGAGCTCCTGTGACTATTTTGCATGCTATGCAAGGAGAACGCAGACTAGACCGCGTGTTAAATTAACTCACTGTTTTAACTCCATCATGTGGCACACTGGCTTGGCTCAGGGAGGGGCCACTCCTTCCCTCCATCTGCTGTAGAGCCGCAAACAATGATGTCATTTCCTCACCAGGGCTGAGCTGGCAACTTTGGAAGCTGGAAAGAAGGCAGGGTTGATTTGCCATGAAAGGCTGCTCTTTTTTTTTTTTGGCTGTATAATCCAGACACTCACCTCATTCGCTCATGCATAGATTTGCTAGAACAAACCTACACAAAGTGCTACACCCTGACAACATTTGCATAGTGTTCACCTAGAAGCAGAGAATGATACTATGACAAAATAGAAAGGGAGTTTCTATTTGTGAACTCGTGACTCATTGTGGTATTAAACGTCTCATCCTATTATGACGGTTTTTTTTTTTGTAGTTGCCTGATTTTAAAATGCTAGGATGCATGTGCTGCTTCTGCACATAAAGTTCAAGTGCGCCTATTCATTTAACAGAGAGTCGGACTGGTTAAACACTATTTGCATGCATCGCAGTCTGACAGCAGGGGCAGAGGTGGAAAAATGTGAGTTTTAAAACTGCAGGGGAACCACGCCTGGCAGAAAGCTATGTTCGTAATTGGTCCTGTGAGAGACTCTACAAGACTTGTGTAGTTTTCTACAGAACAAAAATCTTTATTCATCACTTTCTGGGATACAGTCGCCTTTTTGTGCAGCTTGAAACATTATAGCAGAATATAAACATCTAAACATCACTTAGAATAAAATGTTTATATTGTAGAATTAAAACTTTTATGTGTGCAGACATAAAGAAAAGGCCTAGTGCTAATAAATATCTTTCTTCTCTTGTTTCTGTATACTGGAACCTTTTCTTATAATCTCAGCAAGTTCTTTCTTTCTTCTCATCTCTCCATCTTCTCTTTCCTCTCCCATTACTCTCTCATTGTCACCTTATTTTCCATAACCCAGACATCTTCAGTAATTGCTTTATCTTGGTTGGGTTGGCGATGGATCCAGGGCCTATCCTGAGAACACAGTCCGAGAAGCTACTCCTGAAGTTTGTTTCAACATAGAGTTTAATTCATAATGTAGTTACAGGGGGCAGAGTGGCTTAGTGGTTAGCATGTTTGCCTCACACTTCCAGGGTTGGGGGTTTGATTCCCTCCTCCTCCCTTTATGCACAGGGTTTGCATGTTCTCCTCGTGCTTCAAGGGTTTCCTCTCGAACTCCAGTTTCCACCCCCGGTCCAAAGACTTGCGTTGTAGGCTGACTGAAATTTCTACATAGTGTGTGTGTGAATGTGCTCTAGGATGGGTTGGCACTCCATCAAAGCTGGACTTGTGTCCAGAGTTCTTTGGGACAGGCTCTAGGCTCCTGCTCCATCAGGTGTTGGAAGTCCAAGGACTTTTTGGTATTCAACAACAAAAAAAAAACACATTCATATACATTAGTAGTATATCGTAGGTGTGTTTGTGGGCAGAGAGCAGCAATTGATAAAATATATGTATTTTGTTCTCTGTTTACTCACATTAGCCATGTGCAGAGCCACAGCTAGCCTTATAGCTGCACCTACAGATTTTAGCACTGGATTCTACAACTTTCAATGCGGTCTGAAAACAGCATTAAGTTTTTGCTACATCTTCGTCTCTCATTTTACGATTCAGTCTCGGCTTAAACCTGTAAAAGAGTTTCATTGTTATAGATTTGGTTTTGAAGATCCTCCTTGTAGCTTATGTCGTTTCCATTGCAAAACATTTATTTTTTTATGTAAATAGCCCTTGTAAAACCCTTTTGAACAGACATACCTACCTGAGTTTCAATTTGGAGACATACTATTGTTTTCTTTCAGAAAGTTCTTTCATTCACAAATGTAAATAGAGTAAAAAATGTCCTGCTTTTTCTCTCCTTTCATGCAGATTTTCAATAGTATTTATCTGCTTTAGGGTTGTCGTTGTTGTTGTGGGTTTTTTTTTTTTATAACAAATGGTGTATAATGCCTTTACTTGAATGTATGTATTCACATTTACATTCATTTACATTCTTTCCTTTTTACAATATAAAAAACTAAAAAAGATCAATAATAAACAAGATTTAAAAAAAAAAACATCCTCTTTCCCTTTTTCCTTAACCTACAGCTACGCATCTGTTTGTACCCACAATTCATTGCACACTGAGCATGCGCATATATCTCCTTTCAGTGAAAGGATAAGCTTTATAGAAGATGGATGGATATATCTCCTTTCAGTGAATTTCCTGAATACATTGCAATTTTACATGCAACACATTTCCGTTTCACGCACACACACACACACACACATACACAAATAATATAATAATAATAATACAATTAATAGCATTTAGTATCATACAGATATTGCAATATTATATTGTTATATTATTACAGTAAAATACAACTATTACATTATTTAAAAATTCTATATTATTATTCCATATTATAAAATGAATAGTTTGGCAAATGGTTGTCCCTTCGAGTAAATAAATTTATGTTGTGAACATCAGCAATATCTACTAGTATATTTTATTCACTGTAGAGATTCAGATGTAATACTTATTACATTCTGGCCAACACTGGCTGATACACACACCAGCATGTGAATAAGGGGAGTACTGGCACTTCTTTTTTTTTCCCCACTTCAAACACTGGATTTAGGTATGTGTTGTTAACAACTGTTGTTGCAAACATCTTAACCTTATCTTTAGTTTAAATCATTATCTTATCATAAAGCAAATCATAACCTATTTAAATTGATAGTGGGAATATTGCCAAATACCAGTGCATCACTGTGTGACCTCCATTACCCCAGTAATACTATAGGTTGGCATGAAGTGAAAGGTATCTGAGTGTTACTCCTAGATACTCTTGTCCCAGTTTGGCTGGGAAAGTAAATTATTGATAAACATAAGGAATGGACTGGTGTTGGAAGTGCAACTGGATATGGAAGGTTAATCACACCACATAATAGACTGTTAACTAATAGTACATGTTCAGTTACACAGGCTATCAGACAGGTTCATGCAGCTTCTATAGTGCCTTCAGTGTTCTACACACTTACACACAGTGTTACCAGGTTAGTGACTTTAAACCTCTTTAGTGACTTACTGAGAACACATTAGCAACTGTCCTGCACTTGCTACAAGTTCTCCTGCTCACATCACAGCTGATGATTACACGAGTTAAGTGAGCTGGTTCGGTCGACTCACCACCAGTGGGTAAAACTGGACCAAGTTACACTTTCATGAACCTATGTTCCCAACGGCCAATCACTGATCAGCATAGTTCCATCCTTAACAATTTCTTGGTGTCTGTTTCCAGACTAATCACTACCACTGCTTCATTGTGTCTGCTTTCTTGGCAGATATTATAGTATTTTGTAACTATGTAAATAGTTAGTGTGTAGCCAGCACAGTGGAGAAATGGGTCCTCCTCATGTCAGTGTGGGTTTCCTCTGGGTTCTCTAGTTTCCTCCCACATCCTAAAAGAATGCCAGCAGACGACTTGGCTATGTGGGAAGTCAAAACTACAAAATGGGGGTGGGGACATAGACACCAACATTCATGTTCATGTTCTCCACACCATGGTTGATGTTGTCAGCAGCCACATGCTGAACTCAGGGTTGAGGAGAACTTCCCAACTTTCCAAATAAGAATTCCGAGTTGGGCATTTTCTTTGGTTTTTCTTAGTCGGAGGTCAAAAATTGCCGCTAGGGTGAATGAGTGTGTGCAAGGCGATTTGCAATGGACTGACATCAGATTCATTCCTGGTGTATATTCCCACCTCATGCCCACGTTCCTGGGATAGGCTCCATTGTGACCCTGACCACGGTAAATCAGTAAAGTGATTATTTTAGTTTGCGGTACTGCGACCCTCCTTTTTTCATAGAAGAAAATCTTTTTTCAAGAAAAATCCTATTCTATTCTTTCCTATCCCTTAAGCACTAGAATAAAGTTGGTTTGTCGTTGGACGTTTGATATTCGTAAATTGTAAATGCGGAAATTAAGGGACCGTCTCTAAAGTTACATATGACATTGTTATACACGATTCTAACTTCAATAGCATTTTGAAGGGAATGATGTACAGTCACAAAACTAACTGTAAAGTGTTCATCTCGGTGTCAGGTATGAGGCACGTTTTAGATTTTTGATATTTATGAAAATAACCTATTAAATCATATGTAAATTAGACATGTATTTCACTGCAGAATGTGCCCATACACAAAATATACCATTATTCAAAGCTCAATAGCATTCGAAGGGAACGATGTACAGTCACACAACCAACTGTAAAGTGTTCAAGTAGGTGTCAGGTATGACGCACAACTTTTAGATTTTTGATATTTAACCCTACAATGCATGAACCAAAAACACCTTCACGAATGCATAAAGTGGTTCAAAATGATTGAAAAACCAATTAATGTCATAAATTTTAGCATTAATGTTCTATTAATGAAATTATATATAGATATATCCATCCATATTCTACCGTTTATTCATTCTACACACACACACACCACATACATATATATATATATATATATATATATATATATATATATATATATATATATATAAATAAAGGTGTGCACTTGGTTATATGACTGTACATCATTCCCTTCAAATGCTATTGAAGTTAGAATCGTGTATAACAATGTCGTATGTAACTTTAGAGACGGTCCCTTAATTTCCGCATATCCGCGAGTATCGAGCGTCCAACGACAAACCAACTTTTATTCCAGTCTCCTAAGCGACTTCAGAAAGCCTTTCATCCCCATGTAACCTGTTTTGATATGCAAATGAGCACGGCTATTCGAAGAATATGCAAATTAGCCTCTGGCTCGATAACAGATTCGATAACACTGACCTCACACGCAGTGTCGTCGTCAATCTGCTTCGGTCGTGAGCAGAAGTCGCACCGCTCACGTTCTGTCCCAGCAGCAGGACTCCAGAGCTTCATAGTGCTGAAATTCGCTGAGATCCGGGAGAACAGCGCCGCCCGCGGCCACGTTACGAAAGTATTTGAATGCGCGAGCCCGAGGCTGCCGGCAGCCACAGCGTCTTCATTGTAGTGCCGCTGCGAGTGTGGACAGTGAAACCGCCTAACCGTACACTTTGGGCGGATTATCCGTTTGGGTTGTAATTGTAGAAAGACAAGGATATATATCTAGAGGTAAGTTCTGGATAATTGGACGTGTAACGTGCTTGGGTTGAGCTAACCTTTAGGTTTCGAACAACGGCTAGCTAACCGCTAGTTAGCTTCCAGGCTAACGACGATAGCTTGTAAACATGGCAGAATAGTTTGTCACGATAGCATTCGCCAGGCTTGTTACGGCATTGACCCACCTCTGACGGAAACAAATACAAATACATATCTCTGTGTGTGTATAAAACTGGGCCTGTTTATTCTTTTCTTTTCTACCCTGCCTAGTCGGCTAATTAAATGGTCGCCTAAGCTCGCTAGCAAGCTGTACGGACTGCTAACAGGGTATGGTGTTGTTTACTAAGCTAACAGTGTAGCAGTGTGGCCACCCCCACCGGCATCTCTGAAATGACGTTCAAACGCTTTCTTGTTCATAATGCCCTTTAATGTTCATGCTACAGAAATGTTCAGGATGTTTCTGCGAGCTGGTGATGTTGCCAGCCGCCCTCGACCCTCTGACCCAGAATAATAACGAGGCAGGTTCTGTATACTTGCTGTGATGCAGCTTCTGGCTGAAGGTTTGAAACCTGTTGTTAGGAAACCGCGGTCTACATCACAATAGAAAGCCACAGTCCTGGAACTAATAACGGATCGAGGCTGTTGTTAACAACCGAGTGGATTTCCCGGATGCGTTATTCGTGTCTTTGGTGTAATTGTTGATCGATTGTTTTGTTTACAACAGCAGCTGCATCCTTGCCGCCGATGGGCTCCATGTTGAAGCGATGAAAGCGTGTCAGTTTTAAGCGTGTATAACTTGCATGATATTAATTACAGTAGGCAATGCCTGCTGGTGGGTAATCAGTGATAAAATGGCGCAGGTCAAGTATCCTTAAGGACTACCAGTCTGTCTGCCGGTTTGTTTTGCTGCTACAGTCAAGATCCAAGTGTTCGAGTTCATGTTTATTCACTGATGCAACCTGGAATACAGATACCCCCCCAACAGTGTGGTTAATTGCAT